GTACTAACATTGGCGTAACCCACATATCCTTGATCCTAAGCTCTGAAATTCCATACTTGGAAGAGGGGGAGAAAGCCAGGAAAAGTATATGCCTATCTTGTCACTCTCACTGATAAACACGCATGATATCTCAACATGCAAATGTTTGCACCATCTAGTGGCTAAAAAAATACACTGAATAGTAAGAAAAGTTCCTCTGGTGAACATGATGAATTGGAACTTGCTGGAATGAACATCGCATTTGGAAAAGTGTGTTGCCATTCATAATTTAATGAAGTTTTAAAATCTGGAAAATGACCCGTTGCGTTGTTGTTTATTTGTTCAGTTACTTCCAACTCTTTGTGACCTCATGGACCAGCCCGTGTCAGAGCTCCCTGTCGGCTGTGGTCACCCCCAGTTCCTTCAAAGTCAAGCCAGTCACTTCAAGGATACCATCCATCCATCTTGTCCTTGGTCGGCCCCCCTTTCTTTTTCCTTCCATTTTGCCCAGCATCATTGTCTTCTCCCAAGTTTTCCTGTCTTCTCATTATGTGGCCAGAGTTCTTCATCTTTGTCTCTAATATCCTTCCCTCCAGTGAGCAGTCAGGCATTATTTCCTTAAGTAAGGACTAGTTGGATCTTCTTGCGGTCCAAGGTACTCAGAATTTTTCTCCAACACAGTTCAAAAGTGCCCATCTTTCTTCACTCAGTCTTCCTTGTGGTCCAGTTCTTGCATCCATAGGTTATTATGGGGAATACCACTGCTTTAACTATGCGGATCTTTGTTGCCAGTGTGATGTCTCTACTCTTTACTATTTTATTAAGATTGGTTATTGCTGTCCTCCCAAGAAGTAAATGTCTTCTGATTTCCTGGCTGCAGTCTGCACCTGCAGTTGTGTTTGTGCCTAGAAATACAAAGTCTGTCACTGCCTCGACATTTTCTCCCCTCTTATAATGGAAGTTAAGAAATATCATGCAGTAATTACCAAAAACCCAGGATGCATCATTGTTTGTTGTGTGCCTTCAAGTCATTTCTGACGTATAGTGACCTTGGGCAAGATACTACACAGTGGAGCCCTGTAGATCCAGCAGTGCCAAGATATGCCAGTAGAAAATAATCTCTAAATGGAGTGGGTGGAGGAGAAAGATCAGGGCAAGGAAGATACCAAATTATGTCAGACCCAAATAACTTCTAGTTCAGAAGACAGCTTCAAAGGGAGACTGGGATGAGTCTAGTCCTAAGGAATTTCCAGTATCTCTTGCCAGAATGGATTTTAGATTCAGCACTGCACCAGATGGGCAAGTGTAGGCTCCAATGGTCCTTAGCTTTTTTGGCTAGTTAGGATTGTACTGTAAAGGGAAATACTACCTGGCATATAAACTAGCAAAAAGACTTTTAAAATCTAAGTACCTTCAGCGGTTACGCCCAACAGATTGAGCCTGCCCCATGCACATACTACATCCCTAAGATGTATCCAAATAAAATGTTTTATTTTAAAATAAAAACTTTGAGGCAAGATCCTGTACAGCTGTTTCACCCCATTAAACTTTAGGCACTATTTCATCCGGCACCTTACAAGTCCAAAACAAACTGGAGGGAGGGAAGAATTTTCCAACTGAAGACATTTTAAAATATGTTTAGTACCAATTGTAAACAGAATGATTTGTCTCTCACCCATGGTTTCCCAGCAACAGTTGAAGCACCAACAAAGCCTTGTTGTTCATCAACGGTTGGTCTGAGTAGTTCTTTAAAGATGAAAACAGACTTGCTTTACAATGTATGTTAGTGGGAGAGAAGGGGAAATGGCAAACAGACACCTATTACTCAGTGCTGGAAGGAAAATAAAGCAGTTTTTTTTGTTCTTCGCAACTTTAAAAATAAAGGTATCTATTTTCAAATATATATGTTTATCTCCTATAGATCTACACAAATCAATACTCTCAACTGTTCAGGCCAGATTGGAATTTTACTGTTATTTATTTAAATACAGTTGGAAGGTTTATATAAATTGTGAACATGAACTAAGGTTATCCAGACTATAACTTGTGATGTACAAACACCTAAAATGTTTGACAATATATTTTGCAACTAATTCAAATATAGAATGATTCCATGTCAGTTTTACCACACATTTGCATTTAGATTTAATCTAATGTTTGTTTTGTATTTATTTAAAATGTCTGGAGCCTGCTTTCAACTGGAATTGAAATAGTTAAAAATACATTTGGTTTAATTTCCATTTAACATGGGACATAATCTTCCTTTATCACATGGCAAAATGATACAAGTCGCTGAATGTGCCATGAAACATTTGTTAAAATGGCACACTCTTGCCAAACACGGTGGTCAGTTATGAAATAATGTCATGCTCACAGTCATTCTGAGCAGAAAATCCACCTGAAAACCTGTATTATAGATCCAACCCATTTAGGGCAAAGGTACTGATAATGGTCATACAATACACATTTTTCGTGTACTTAGTGGACCACCATTCAACATACAATAAATATAATGGTTAAGAAACATTGAAGCTATGCTCCGACGCCATCAACTCTGCTGAACTGGCCGCGTTGTCTGAATGCTCAATCACCGTCTTCCCAAATAGTTACTATACTCCCAACTCAAAAACGGAAAATAGAAAGTTGGTGGACAGGAAGAGATTTAAAGATGGCCTTAAAGCTAATCTTAAAAACTGTAGCATAGACACTGAGAACTGGGAAGCCCTGGCCCTTGAGTGTCCTAACTGGAGGTCAGCTGTAACCAGCAGTGCTGTAGAAATTGAAGAAGCATGAATGGAGGGTGAAAGGTACAAAAAACCTGCAAAACCCAAAGTAGTCAAATCTCTGCAAGAAAGGACTGTGAAATAACTAATGTTACCCCACAAGATTTTTTTCTATACATAGACATTCTTCATATAATACGGAACCTGGAATTGCATGACGAACACATATGCATCAAGGAAGCTGACAAATTTTTACTCTATGTAGGATGAGAGAAACAGAACCAGCTTGACAGATGTGGTATAGTATGCTCCTCTCTTCTCTTTTTTTTGGAATATTTTTTTAAAATTAGTGAGTAGGACTTCAACTTCTGAAACATATTTCCCCTATTGTGGGTTATTTATCGTGTCAGAAATGAGTTGAGCATACAGTTAACATGTATTTAAAAACACAAAGTTTAAAAATTTGGCATTATGCTAAATGTTCTTTTGACCAGAAGCCGGCCACTTGGAGTGCCTCTGGTGTCGCTGAGAAGGTCCTCCACTGTGCATGTGGGTGCACTGTACACTCTCATGTCGTGGACTCCACTTTGTAGCTCCATTTCTTAAGGTTAGCTCTGTATCTTGTGGTGCCAGAGTGCAGTCTGTTCAGCGCCTTCCAGGTTGCCCAATCTTCAGTGTGCATAGGAGGGAGTTTCTTAGCCAGTCTCAGCCACTGATTAAGGTGCTGGGTTTTAACCTATCATTTTTGGATTCTCACTTGCTGAGGTGTTCCTTAGGAAGCTGTTTCTTGATTTAAGCTGTTGGCATGCTGGCTGATATCTGAACAGAGGATGGACAGAGGGGAACATGAGAGAAGCCTCCTCGCAGGATCGTAACACATCCAGGCGTCCCCTGAGCAATGTTTTCGTAAACAGCTGATTTTCTCACACCAGAAGCGACTTGCAGCATGCAAACTCTATTGTGGAGAGAAGTAGTATCATAGAATCATAGAATCAAAGAGCTGGAAGAGACCTCATGGGCCATCCAGTCCAACCCCCTGCCAAGAAGCAGGAATATTGTATTCGAATCACCCCTAACAGATGGCCATCCAACCTCTGTTTCAAAGTTTAGTAAGTGAATTGAATGTTGCTGTTCATCTGGAAAAAAATTATGTTTTGATTTGACGATAAGGATAAATGCATTCTCCTAAATGTAATCCAATTTCACTGTGTGTATACATGGCAGGAAAAAGTGGTACAAATGCTCCACAACATCATAATAAGTGAGCAGTCCCTAAACATGCGAGGCGTCATTTGCTCTGTGCACTTCTCAATCATCAAATGAAAATAATTTCCAGCAAATCGTTATTTATCGTTCTTGCATTGAGAGAAACTAAAATTAGTCCACTTTGCAGTTAGCAGAAGAAACAAATGTTGACACTCAAAAAGCAAGGGAATTCTAGGCAAGAATCAACCAGCTAACACCTCCCAACAAAGGATCCCCCAGGCAGCAACCAACCAGGCATTGAAGCTGCAAGGCTATTAAATGCAAATCTAGGTGGCCATTTGCAACATTCATACTTGCCTCAAGCAGACAGTTCTTTCTCCCACCCTGGACATTACACAGATATATAAGCCTCACTTGCCTAGTTTCCAACAGATCCCTCAACCTCTGAGGATGCCTGCCATAGATGTGGGTGAATCATCAGGAGATGAAGCTTCAGAGAATTCAAAGCAACCCAGTGATTCTGGCCATGAAAGCCTTTGATAACATATTGAAACAAATGTTGTTTCTGCCCCCTGACACCTGAAATCTATTTTTTTAAAAATCACCCCAGCATATAGAAAAGTAAAACTGGTATTCCAAAGGGAGTGAGAAGTTTAAAAGATGCCACTAATGCAGTAGTTTTCATTTCAATTATTCTTTTTTATTTTCAAAGTTCAAATGTGTCAATATATTTGTATTCTTAAATAAACATTTCAAATTTGAATTAAACGTACCGTCATGGTTCCTAGTTGTGAAATTTCAAAATCTCTTTGGAATACTAATTTCATATTTATAGGTCTTGCTTAGAATGACTGTATTATTTTTTCTTAAAACCCAACCTGCTTCCCTGAATTGTTTCTAGACAGTCGATGATGTAAAAATTAATATAAAACATTGAATCACAAAATAGTATTGCTTTTGTATGCACACTGTGGCAAGATTTGCTCTTTTCAATAAAAACTATACCGTCTCCCGTAAATTCCTAAACATATTAAAGAGTGGTGATGCAGAACGGAATGGCACAGTGAAACAGGTACCAGCACGACAGTGAGATTATATTACATCAAAAATTTTTAATGGTCCCAAATATATACTCAACACCTAAGCATACACTCGGGGCAAAATAAAAATAAAATTATGACACGTAAGTGACATCTAGAATTCCATTCAATCTTTTTTTAATCAAGGGATAGAGAAATCCCCCACCTCCAAACAAAAATCTGCAGTTTAAAGGGCAAAAGGGAACGGATTAAAAAAGAGGAAACTTATGTTCAGCCTTCCCCCAAAGAGTTTCATTTTAAAAAACCTGTTGTAGCTCGACTAAAATGTTCAGAATGTATGGTTTCAAAGGCAGGTCTCTTTACACAAAGAAACTGCTGGCATTCTTAGCAAGTGAAGAACTACGGCAGAAGAGCCTTTTCTTCAAAGTCTTGTACATGGTCCAAGAAAGCATGTTCTGATTGTAACAACTGAACAGCCAATCCAGAATTCCACTACCAAAATTCCTGCCCTGTTGGCTTTATATTTTTCCATTTCCTTCCCTGAGAAAAGGGCAATGCGTGGTCCAAGCTGGAGAGGTCAAAGGCATGTCTTTCCCATAAAGCGTGTATTTCCTTTTCTTCTGCTCCTTCAAATTGGCACTTGATCAGCAGAAATCCATTTAAAAAAAAACAAATTGAACTGTGTTATACACAGAAATTGCAGTTTTCAATTACGGACTCTCCCACCCTCCCAGAAACTGAGTATATCATTCGGCTGATACGGATCTTCCAAGCTGTCATTATGAGGATTCTAGCTTTGCTTTCTGTGACAAAGGTAGGCTTTCTTCATCATCTTCATCATCATCATCAGGATAATCTACAAGACCCACTAATCCACCCTGAAAATGGAAAAAAAAGAAAGACATTTATAAATACTAGGCATTTTAAGAGTTCAATCCTACAACCCAAACCTCTATTTTACTGAAGGACTGACTGGAATACAACAGCCAACACAACTATGGATAAATGGAAAAACATAGCATCAGAAAACGCTGAACCCTATATCTCTGACCATAATAATAATAATGTATAAGGTTTTGACTTCTCTAAGAGTTCCTCCATCTACATCATTGGATCCCAACCTGTGGACCGTGAACCACCAGTGCTCCCCAAGAACAGAAATATGGTCTGTGGTCTCACCATTACTATACTGTTGCTGCGAAACCACATGGCAATGAGAGTGGCTGGTCTCGTGAAACCCTCTTATAATGCTGAGGCAACGGGAGAGCGGATGCTGGGAGAGGAGAGGCTGACTACCCAAGAAAGATTGCTGCTACCACATCAGCTCTAGATTATTAAATATGGTTTTCTATGGGCGAGCAGATGGCGACTACTGAAGCATTCTCTCCTGACATTTTGCCCACAACTATGGCAGGCACCCTCAGAGGTTGTGAGGTCTGCTGGAAACTAGGCAAGTGAGGATTAGATATCTGTGGAATGCCCAGGGTGGGAGAAAGAACTCTGGTCTGCTTGAGGCAAGTGTGAATGTTGCAATCGGCCACCCTGATTAGAAAAAATGGGAATTCCAGACAAGAATCAATCAGGGCCAGCCAAGACCTCCAAACAAAGTATTCCCCCAGACAGCAATCAGCCAGGCTTTGAAGCTGCAAGGCATTAAATGCTAATCAAGGTGGGTAATCAAGGAGAGAATGCTTCTGAAAAATGGCTATACAGCCTGGAAAGCTCACAGCAACCCAGTAATTCTGGCCATAAATGCCTTCGACACACCTCTGAGATTCCTTGCCTAAGAAAACCCTGTGAAATCCAAAGGGTCACACAAAATCAAATAGACAACTTGAATGTGTGCATGTGCGCGCACACTATTTAAAGCCACCCAGAGTACCAGTCCTGAGGGAAGAGGAGCAATATAAAGAAAAATGACAACAATTAGGGTTTCTTTGTTATCAGGCATCTGGGGCAGATCAAATATTTATGGAAGTCTGCAGGTGGGTTATTAGGGACTATGTCCTGAGCAAACAGTTTTCATATAAAAGCAACAAATTCGTTCAAGTGCAAACAGTACCTTGGTAGTTATAGCTGCCATTTGAGATGTGCTTTTAGAAACCGATCCAGGAGAGCCCGGTGACCCAGGAGATCCTGGAGATCCAGGAGACCCAGGCAAATTACTTGCAGATGACTGGCTGGTGAGGTTAGCTTTTGTACTACTAGAGAAGGAAAGTTTGAAACTTGGGCTCTGCCGACCGGAGAGATTAGTTTTTAGAAGGACCTCCTTTTCTTCATTTTCTTTAACTAGAATTTAAAAGAAATAACAATGTAATAAAGCTCTTCTGTGAAATTGTAAAAAGGTTCAAGACAAAATAAATCTTTCCCGAGTCCTATTTTCTGGAGAATGACAGAGGTAAAAATCTAATTAATTTATTAGAATTTATTTATTTATTTAAAACATTTCTATCCCATCCTTTTTGACCTCCATGGAGGGACTCAGAACGGCTCCCAACCCAATTTAGAAAAAAAGGAAAGGTAAATACTCTGTCCCCAGTAGTTGTGCAACACACATGCCTGTTCAAATCTATACCTCCAAAAGTGGAAAAAGTCATTTTCACTGACAGCATCTCATTTATAAATGCCTTCCTCAATTGGGGCTCATGTGATGCCTTCTTCACAGTCTCTTCTGCATTGTGTTAAAGCCTATTAGTTTGTACATTTTTAATCCACTAAATTTTGTGTTGTGTCTAGTCGTGTCTAACTCTGAGGTTGGTGCTCATCTCCATTTCTTAGCTGAAGAGCCGGTGTTGTCCATAGACACTTCCAGGGTCTTGTGGCCGGCATGATTGGAGCGCCGATTGAACACTATTATATTAGGTGGCAAACAACAATTCTGGGCACAAATGTGCACACACGCACACAAAGAAAATATATCTGATTATTTAGGTTTAATAGCTGTTGCTATCAACTATGCAAAAGTCAAGGCCACACTAATCTATATGTGATTTTCCTGCATCTTGGGAGGGGGTTGGACTGGATGGCTCACAAGAACTCTTCTACCTCTTACGATTCTATGACTGTGTCTGTTGGGCTACACTCTTTCACAAAGCATGCTACGAATGTTAAATATTTGTTAAATATTCAAACATGTCAGCAATCTATATTGAAAAACTAAGTTACCCTTGGCTTATTTTTTTTTGCACTACTTGTATATAAAATGGATACATTTTTACCAAATCTGGAGGAGACATTAACATCTGACTTAACTTGGCATACTCAAAATTCAGTTGGGAAAGCCCAGGTGAAAATCCAAAAACTTTACTTTTATGTTTTTATCCCAAGGGGCCTCAAGGGCAACTGAGAAATGAACAATAGGAGGAAGAGTTTAAGCTCACAAAGAGAAAGGCACTCATCTTTAAATGCAATTGAAGTTGAAATGAAATTCTCTGGAGCCATGCTGGGTTCTAAGGCCTATCCATCTGTCATTGTTTTAGTCTTGCCAGACTTCCTTCAATGAACTGCTCTAAGGAAATTGATAATTTTGTTTTATATTTAACAGAAATCTTTTTTGTCATTTCAAAGAGTAACCGAAAACTACAACAGAGGACACAAGTTAATACTATAATGGTAAAGCTTTCCCCTTGATGTTAAGTCTAGACATATCTAACTCGGGGGGGGGGGGGGGGTGCTCATCTCCATTTCTAAGCCAAAGAGCCAGCGTTGTCCGTAGACGCCTCCAAGGTCATGTGGCCGGCATGATTGCATGGAGTACTGTTACTTTTCTGCCAAAGCGATACCTATTGATCTACTCACATTTGCATGTTTTTGAACTGCTAGCTTGGCAGAAGCTGGGGCTAACACCAGGACCTCACCCCACTCCCAGATTTGAACCGCCAACTTTTCAGTGACAAGTTCAGGAGCTCAGCGGTTTAACCCACTGCACCAATGGGGGCTCCTTAATACTAATTTATATAAATAAAAACGTAATGTTCATTTGTGGGATTAACATAACTCAAAACCCACTAGACGAATTGACACCAAATTTGGACACAATACTCCTAGCAGGCCAACAAGTGACCATCACTCATAAACACTGAAAAACACAGCAGAAGAGACTTAAAAAAAAAATTACAACGCATATGCAAAACCACATATATACACACAAAACACATATACACAGCAATGGGCCACAGCAATGCATGGCAGGTGATGGCTAGTTATATATAAATCAGCTAAGTTAATATTAATCATATATAAATCAGCTAACAACATAAGCCACAAATATTGGAATTATGCCTCTATGGTGGACATATGCTACTTGGCAGGTGAAAGGGGGTTATTTCTCCCATCCTAAACTTGAGGGAGATAGGATTTTTTTTAAAAAAATTACTCAAACCAAAACCATGTGATTTCAGTTACTTACATTTTTTTCTCTCCATAAATTTACTTATAGGATCCATTATATCCTCATCGTTTTTACTTTTGTCTGAGGGTGGCACAACAGCTTCTCCATCCTCCATATCATCTTCATCGGTGTTAAACCACATCTCCTCCTCATCCTCCAAGGTCCTTGCATCTCTCCGATATCTATGGTTTCTCAAGATGGAACGCATGCTGCGAAAAACACATCAAGATGCAGTTATCAAGGGAAAGTGAATTATGTGTGTGCCTGTATCCATCATCACCATGTTACAGGTTTTTTTTATTTTTCTCATTTCTGATATGACTTTCGAGCACAGGAGATTACTGAAAAAACAATATGTTATCAGCCACCAGTTCCATACTCCATGTGTAATTTGTATTTGTACAAAGTTTCAAGATCACTCAAAAGATGCTCATACAGACTAGATAGCACAGGTCAATTACATTACTAGTATCTTTATTAGTTTCAATAACTTAATCTTTAATTTTTTACTGGGAAAATATAATACATACAATATATATTTAAGTTATAAACCAAGTTTTTCAGCTCCTTTTTTAGTCTGAACCCCCCCCCCCTCAGTTTATACTCAAGTCAAAGTTATTTATTATTTTACTCTGTTATTATTATTGCATTTATTATTTTACTCTATGTATTGTTGGTGTTATTACATTTATTATTTTACTCTATTATTATAACATTATTATTTTACCCTATTATTACTGTTATTATTACATTTCCATTATTTTACTCTATTATTACTATTACATTTATTATTTTACTCTATTATTATTGGAAGATACGTAAGCACATTTACATTGAAGGTTATTATCATGGTTTAATCTGAGTTTAATCAGAGTTGGGTAGTCTTATCTTAAATTAGTTTTATGTAAATATTCAAAAACATTTAACCTATTGATGCCTTCATTAATGTAATTTTATTGGTTATCTATTTTTATTTTGAAATTTACCAATAGCTGCTACATTTCCCACCCTTGGCTTATACTCGAGGTCATCCCTTTTCCAGTTTTTTTTGGTAAAATTAGGTGCCTCAGCTTATATTCGGGTCAGCTTATACTCGAGTACATATGGTATATTGTTTTACAATGTACCCTAGTGATTTTTTTTTAAAAAAAAACAGAACTTGGGGTACTCAAAAACATTTCCAAAAATGCTGCTACACAAAACTACTATCATTGCTGGCTTTTGCAAGATAATGTTGTGCAGCATTATAGACTTCTTGCTCAACATCAGTGAAGGCTGAAAGGGATGAATGCAAAAATGCTTAAGCATATATATTTTCACTACTGCGAAGCACGGAAGCACATGCTCATATCAGGGGACAGGGGATCCTTCTCCTTCAGAGATCCCGCGAATCAATTTTTGACAAGAATTATCTTGGTCAGAGTTCGCTTTTTATATTTTATGTAGTCACTGTTATAAAACACAATTTGATAATTTATTTACATGTAGTGCCACTCTTCCTAGAGACCTTGCTTGCACTATCAGTGCTGTCAATAAAACACTCCCAAGCAATCTGAAAACCTCAATATTTGCCCAACTTAAACTTATATGGCATTTCACGGAAGGTCCATGATATTAGAGCTTTGATGATTTTGAGAATCATGTATTTGTTTATAGACATCCATTCAAAATACTTCTTCAATCCTATTGTATGAAATTGCATGTTCTCTATACAGCCTTCATGTGTTTCTTTTTAAAAAGAAAATTTAAAAGATTCTTCCACAGTACATAGGCCATTACAGTCTAAGTGTCAAGTCACCTGACCACTTAAGCAGAACAATATAAAACTATGCTTTTCATTTGTTTAACTACTTTCTTCTTAAAAGAAAAATCTTTTGAAAGAGCAACCATTTCAATGACCACTAACCTGTCAAGCTTGGGATTATCTTGTCTTTCCCTTTGTTGTTCATAGCGCAATTTCAAACCTTTGAATGTCTGCACATAGTCTACATCTTCTAGAGCTTTCCAGTAATTTTCAATTACGTGAGCTGTTAAGGATTTTATATCTTCCTAGAAAATAAAGTTATTTTCCCAATTAAGATTGTATGCTCTCAAAGGTATGTGCAAATCACACTGGTTTCTTCAGAAGGTACTCTCATCCATGTAACTATTATGCAGTATGTGTTTGCTATTACTATAGAAAATACAGCATATAGAAGTTGGCAGTAAAGCACACTATACAGTGCTGGGAAGAAGCATGTTTTCCCTCAAAGTTTTGTGTACGATTGTTATTGAGAAGTGTTTTCAGTTGTTATAGAAGAGTCAACAAACTGAAAAGTTATTAAAAAATGAATGTCTAAACATCTTTCTCAAAATCTCACTGTCAGTTCTGATAAAATCCAAGTCAGCATATCTGCAGAAGAAATAGCACAATATCTTATATACTGAATAAGTCAGTTCTAACAGACTTCCCAGACAAGCATGTAGAAAACTTCACAAGAAATTTTACAATATTGCTATTTTTCTCCCATAAATTGTAATTTGCCCTCCAGCTGTATTCACCAGCTTTGAAAGACACTGTATCTGTGAAAGGTGTCTTAATTACATCCGGACTGGATTACTGTAATGTGCTTTAGGTGAACTACACAGGCATACCTCCACTAACAAAGACTCTGATAAAGAAGGTCCTTTTTACAAACTATTTTTTTACAGGATCCCGAGAAAAAGGCTCTGTAAGTTTTACTACCAAAACAGACATTTAAAAAGTGAAGGCTGTTGAAATAATCACCCTAGAATGCATTCTAGAAAAGATTTTCTAGTGCTCTCCAGTAACATTTTTGGTTACTTATGCAAGGCTTGCCTAACCTAAATGTGCATAATGTTAGTTCTGAATGAAAACTTCACTGAAGCAAGTTGAACTGCTATTTTTTTGTGACATAGGAACATGTCCCTATTTTTTCCATGCAATTTTTACTTTTGATACCAATGTTTATGTCAAAAAAGTAAATCCCAGGAAAACATCTACCACTATTAACTGAGATGTCTACATAGATATTAGAGTCTAACTCTTAAGGGCAGGAGACTGTCAAATTAACACCTGTAAAATACACTTCAAAACTGTCAAATTAACACTTGTAAAATACCTGTAAGAAAGAGGTACTCACCACTCGAATGAATTCAAACATCTCTATGATAGCAGAGTTCATCAGATTATACCGGGATCCATTGCTGAGAAATGCTTTGACCACTGGTTCAAACAAGAAACTTTTCATTATATAGCGATTGTAGAATTCGTCCTTCAATCCAATTATCTTTCTTTTAAAACGAAGGGCACCTAATAAGGAAAAATAGTTAAGCTATTTTCATACTGCTTTTTTTAAAAAAAAAAAACCCTCAAGATTTTACTTTAACAGAGCAACCAATAGGATAAACAAACAGAATAGGAAGCTTGGTCATATTCCTAAAGAATCAGAAATTATTTATTGCATTAGTTAGGAATCACAACTACCTGATCATTCCATGGACAAGTTAATAACGAAGGCATACGCTTTAGCACAACTGACTTTTCTTTTCTTTTCATGTGTGGGCTCCCAGGTCATGTAAAAATGAATTCTTCTAAACGCCCAAAGATTTAATTGCACCTAACCTTTCATATTTCACTGGCATTTTTTTTGCACTGAAGTGCTGCTTAAGAAAGCATCCTAATTGTACAGGGTGTTTCAAAATGATGGTCCCAATTTCAAAATAGTATATTTCATGTCAAAACGGGTTTTTTTGTCAAAAAAATTGTACAAAAACGGTTTAATGAGTTACCAGGTTTTACTAACCATTTTGAGCCAGAAACAATTCTAAAAAATAGCGCTGCAAATGGGGACTATTTCATTAGGCTTTATGTTGTGGTGTTGCCATTTCATGAATGACTCAGGCCAGGGGCTGTTTTTGCACTAGCAGAGGCATCTAGCAATAACTGTTTGTAACTCTATGAACCACCCTTTCAAGGGGTAGGAGTTTTATTCATGGGCGGCTCTTGCTTGCCAAGATATAGTGATTTCAAATCAAGACTCTCTTTTTAAAACACTCTGTATTATTGTAAAGACTGCATTTCATCAACTGTAAGAGATCATAAATTGTAAGATGCACCCTAATTACAATACCACCACCACCAAAAATATGTAAAATACACCTGCAATTCTAAAACGCACCACATTTTTAGAGATATTTATATAGAGAAAAAAGTGTGTCTTAGAACTGAAGAAATATAGGATAAACATGCAATCTATACTAATTTCGTTCCTGTAAACTTTATCTTTTCAGACAGAACTGTACAGGGTTTTCTAATTACATAGTTCAACTGAAGCTCTCTATTTTAAAAGAAAAAAGGAAAATACTGAAAATGTAAGTAACGCAAAAGTATTTTTAGTTCTAGTATGTCACATGATATTCGCATGGCTGGTCAATAAATCATTTTTTTCTAAAACTTTTTGTCGTAATTAGAAACCATGACTAGTTTACTATCACTCTCATGAAACAACTTGATACTGTGTCATACGTACATAGTGCTAGGAAAGCATGACTCGAAGCCATCAGGACTAACACTCTTCGAAGGATATCCTTGTTAATAATGTAGTTCTTTATATGGTATGTATGATGTTCTACACAGAAAGTTAGCAATTCTAATATCAAGGCCAACAGCTGGGCTGTCTGAAAATCATCTAAAAATAAAAACAAATACATTTGTGGTGAGCATATTGCTTATGTTTTTTTTTTTTGATAAACACAAAATAAGACATATTTTATGTATCTCTCAAATTTAATTCCTGCAAGAACTAAGCATATACAACAAGAACCCCAGGTTGCACTGCGTAATTTTTTGGGTGATCATCAAAACATCCTCTTTGGTTATCAGGTTTCAATTTCTGTGATCCTGGCACTTAAGCATTCCCTTCCTATTTGCTCGGACTATGATTGCTAAGAGTGGATGAAGAAATTGGACAATAGTAAACAGTAATGTTAAGTACATTAGTACAGGAATGATTCTCAGGATATAACTTGTTTTTTAAAGGGCCATCCTAAGACTATATTCTAAGTATACCCCCAAGACTATACCTTTGCTTTCTAGGCTTGGGCCCGAATCAGTTTGAACAAAAATGATTTGTAATATTCGGTGGTCCATTTCACGTAATCTCCAAAAAACAAAGGGGAGGAGGGCACCAAAAAGCTGATTACAACGGATTTAGGGTGCTGACTACTGAATAGGAATGAATTTAAGTCTGTAATATACCGAAACAAAACTAAGGTAAGTTTCATGCATACTGGCCTTAAAATGACTGAGGATTGAGCCTTTAAAGTTTCCCATTGTATCGAATGGGCCGAATCTTTCTTTGCCGAATGAAAACAGCAACACCCTCCTGATCAAAGTAACTTCCTGGTAAACAGAATGAGGCAGAAAATGGACTCTGAAATGTGCATGCCTTTTGGCCGAATTACATGCCTCTGTTGCTTTCCCCTATATAATTAAATTACTGTCATTTATTCCTATGGGTAAAATAGCTTGGAACACTTAGCCTTCCTTCATCTCTGAGTACATGATCATATTTTACCAAAATGGTGCAATAGAGCAATGTGCCCCCACATTATCTTTGCAACTCCTTTCATGTGTGTCCCACACACCATTTTTCTAGTTATGAAACAGAGCAAGAATGGACAATGTCTGCAAGAAAATGTATAGAAATTGGTGCTGGACTGACGTTGGAGTATGTCCACCCTTGAAAGGGGCTAAGAGACACCTCATGTCTTACCTTTACTAGGCTTTTCCTCTGTAGTATTGGCCAATAAAGGTGCAGTAAGGACATGCATACAATGTTTGTAGAAGAAACCCAAGAATTCCGTCTTTTCTGTTTTCTTTAGAAAAGAAATAAACAAATTAATTCAAAACAATACTAATAGAAACATTTCAAGAACAACAAAATGCAAAACCAGGATCTCAACTCACATTGGCAGTAGCAAGCATATTTTCTGGATCCACCAAGGTACGCAACAGACCCATCAGCTGGACTGCTCCTCCAAGTTCAGGATCTGTATCACAAATCATGTGTTCTATGATGAGGTTAATGAGTAAGATATCCTGGTTAAAAAACAAAATTAGGATAGCAAAACAGTTAGTCATAACTAAAATGCAAAATGAGACACACAATATAATTCCAGGTAAAGGTCAGGATTTCTGCAGCAGATGGCAGTCTATAGAGTTGTATTTTAGTCACAGCAATTCTTCATGCTGATGGGAAGCCTCTTTTGAAAAACAGGAAATTCCAATTGATGGCTATAGTCTTAGGATATTTAAAAAAAAACCTAATTTTGGGAATATCAAAAAATACTACATCAATGTGACCAAGTCATTTCAGATTTCTCTACATTTTCTTCAGACTTCCAATTTAGGAAAGCTTTAATATTTATTTATTTACTACATCCCTATCCCACTCTTCTCACCCTGAGGAGGACTCAGAGTGGCTTACAGGCAAAATTCAATATCACATTATTAATACAATAGACAAAAACAAAATGAAAAGTTAATTAAATGTAAATTCCAAATAATATCTTATATAATAATAAGTATCTTATCAGCTTCCAAGCAGTTTTGGTCCATTTTTCTCTAAATCCTTCGGTATGTAAAATGAATTAATTGGTATGAAATACCTATGTATCTCACTTCCAAGATACAGATCAGATTAACATGGACTTATTCTCCTCTTGTTCTGCTAGCTTTAAACACACGTTTTTGTACAGCTCTGTGGAATATAAGGTGCTATAGACTGTATTTCACCGGAACGAACAGAGAAATACACCTCTGAATATTCCTTGACTAAAAAAATCTGTGAAATTTATGGAGTTGCCATAAGTTGACAGTTGACTTGAAAGTACACATTCATGCACATGGTTACCACAGATAACAAAGCATTATTTCTGTATGAGTGCACTATGGGATGCCAAAGAAGAGACAGAGAACACTGTATCTGACACTGGCAACCCTTTGCATCTTCTATGCTGCATATAGAGCCTAACAAAATCATAGAGGTTACTAAAGAGATGATGGGGGTACTCCATCTGTGTTTCTTACAGCCCTCCACTTTTCTGTGTTGGATATAAAGAATGAGGGTTCTTACTGGCTGGAATTTTAGTTCTAAAAGTGCTGACATGAAGAATAATCTCTCCCCCCCTCCTTCTTGGCAGACTCTCAGGAAAAAAAATACAGGGTTATTTAAAAAGCCTTTATTCTTTGCCATCTTATTTATGGTGAATGTAAGGAGTACTCCCAAATGAACTAAGAATTAAAAGGCAATGCCCAGCACTGATTTATGAACAACCTGTTAGCATCCAAACATTTGCCACAGATAAGATGACAAAGAATATGGCAAAGGGTTATAAAACTGAACCATGATAAAGGCTGCCAAAGGGGAAAAGAGTGGGAAGTATATTCTGAAGAGGCAAAGGGGCTACTCCTAAGGTTAGCTCCTGATCATAGAATCATAAGAGTTGCAAAGACCTCAAGTGCCTTCTAGTCCAACTCCCTTGCCAATGCAGAAATCCATTACATGGAATAAGATAAATGTGCATGCTATGTAGTACATTTCCATCTGGTGATCTAGGTAAAAATGTAGGTTATGAAAAGAGCTTGTAGCCCCTTATGGCAAAAGAATACAAGTCTCTGAGCTCTGTAACTGAGAAGAGAATTTGCCAAAAAAAAATTGTTAGAATTTATTTGAAAATTAAGAGCCCCATACTTACATCATCATTCTGCTGCGCTTCCTGCATGACAAATTCTCGTACCATAGATGGATTGTATTCAACCAAATAGGAGAATATATCAGTAGCTGCACTTCGCACTTGGGCGTCATCCATACCCTGCAGTTAAAGAAAAATAGAACTTGTAACTACAGTGAGAAGGTATAACCTAAATAATACAGTTTATTGCTTTTAATTAGCTCACCTTTGAGCCCCAGTGAAGTATATTATTACCATTCTTCTATTTCTGAGGAGGTTTGAATCATAAGGAATTATTCATTTGAATCTCTGAAATTCCCTAACTATCTGAATATAACATTTTGAGGCTGTCTCCCATTCATTCATCCATTACACTATAGCATTGTCATCCCCTTTTTGACTATATTACCAGCTGATTTTAAAAACATACTTTTTGCAGCCAAAGTACTATTCCAGAGTAAACAAAGGGTTTCAACTATTTTTATTACCTGATTATGGTTAAGCGATAGAATGCTGGGGAGAATAAGGCAATGCTAGAAACCAAACTTGGAAAACTTACCAGGATGACTTCTAGTGCTGGAAGAATGCCCATATTAGACAATGTTTTGAAAAAAGCATCTCTGTTTTGAGGCTGTAATGTTTGAGAAAATGCACAGAACTCTTTCAAGAAGTTTACCTGAAATACAAAAAAGATAAGATAGTATTTATCAATATTCAGAATCCCACAGCTGCTTCACAAAGCACATTTTAAAACATTCTTACCAATTCTTGCCTCTTTTCCTCATCTGTAGCTTCATCTGTAAGTTGTGCAAATAAGTCAGTCAAAAATTTTTCATCTTCCTATAAAAAAATTATACAAATTAAACTAAAAGGTATGTAATATATTGTGCAAGCCCCAATTACAAATTCACCAGTTATAAAATCCTAGAGATAAAAATGGCTAACACCAACATTATTTGTATGTGAAGTATACCTTTTAGTAGAGATCTCAGCCATACAAAGTAGTTTTGCACTTACCTATTTGCTTGTAAAAATGACAGAAAATAAAAATAATTGCTTTAATTTCCAAGACCAAACCTATACAGAATATAGCTGGGGGGGAAAAAATCACATTTTCAAGCTCCTGCTCCCAGAAATACATTAGGTAAATAAATAAAGCGTGTTTTTTTCATATAAAACCACATTCCCTAGCTAATCCTTCAAAATCATCATTGTGTAAAAGTTTAACTCTATCAGTATTAAGTTAAAATCCAATCAAAGGAAGAGAAAAACAGTTCAATGTGTTTCATCATTTCTTGTGAAACACAAGGGTTCTGCTGGTAGTCACTTCGTATAATATGGTAAGTTTTGTAGCCTATGTAAATAATGATAAACTTATGTAAAATGAAAAGAAATTGATCTGTATGTTCATATAATGAATGTAACATTGGAACTTACTATCTCCCTCCTGACCTTCAAGAAAAGGCTAAAGACATGGATGTGGGTCAAGCATTCTATTAGTAACCCATTAGAGATCTATGCAATAGTGCAATGACAATTTGGAATGGCCATGGACTATGATTTTGGATAACGTGATTTTAAATAGTGTTTTAAAGTTTGATATGTTGGTTTTTAATATATCTGCTTATTTCACTATATATGTATGTTTACATGGCATCGAATCATTGCCTATACATGTTAGCTGCCTTGAGTCCCTTACAGGGTTTAGAAAGGCAGGGTATAAATAGGGTAAATAAAATAAAATAAAGGTCTTTATTGGATTATGCACAGACTTTCAATGTTCATCACAGACAAAATTCTAACTTTAAGAGCCAATGCACATAGGTAAAATAGATCCAGGAAGTAAAACTCCACTCCCTTGACAGACATTTACTGAGGCAGTTTCAGGTACTTGTGAAAAAGGAATCAGCGCTGTTTAACCTATCCACAAGAAGTATGTATGTGAAGCATACTATCTCTTTTCCTTCTGACAGAAGAATACAGATTAGGTAGTCACTGAATGCTGCCCAATCCATGTACTTGTGATGCAGACATATACAGGCTACATTTCATGGTATAATTGGAATATGACTTTTGATGTTGGTCAAATGTCCATATTAAACAATGTTTTGGGAATATAGTGTTTGAGAAAATACACAACACTCTTGAAGGAAGTTTATCTGAGATATAAAAAACAAGACTGTATTTATCAAGAGACAGAATGCAACAACCAATTATGAAGCTATTTTTCATAAATGAAATGGCCTTTTCTCCTCTTCCTCAGTTTCACGTGTGCCCTTTATGTAGGAAATCTATGCATCACACATTGCATAATTTGTACATTTTTAAAAAACCACCCTCAAAATAATTCGTTTTTTTCTTGAAATTCCCACTTTTTCCTCACTTTTTAGAGATGTTTTTATTAGATGCAAATGATGTATGCTTTTAGTATTCTTGATATGGTTTTATATAATGTGTTAATGTTTTTAAATGTTTTATGGTGTTTTGGGGCATTGAATCGTTGCCATTGTAAACCGCCCTGAGCTACCTAAGGGCTGAGAAGGGCGGTATACAAATATAGTAAGTAAGTAAGTAAGTAAATAAATAATGCTACATTTCTATCCCTCTTATTAGAGCAAAGTTTTTGACATCAGCAATACTGGACATAAAATCTAATACAAATATTCAAGATAAAACATTTTATTTTAAAAGCCACTTTTTAGGGCGTTATCCTAAAATAATGAAGGAATTAAAATTATTTTTACAATTATACAGTACATGTAATAGAAATAAAGATTTCTAAGGCAGATTTAGGAGTTAGTTGAAGACAGCTATCTACATTATAACAACATCTGCCATGTATCAAATGTTAAGATTCTCAAATACTGATATTGCATTTAACCTTTCCTCTTTTCTTCACAATAAATGACAAGAACTAAGGAAAACAAACATATAGATTATATTTTAGACCTTTGCTTAGCACCTTAGCACTCTCTGTATATAATAGATAGCTGTATCTGTTGTTGGCACCTACATAAAATGCATCTTGCACTAGCTGCATCATTGCATGCCAGTGATGAAGCAGTGCTCAGGGAAATGTCCCAACATTCCCTTACTCTCTTTTATTCCTTACTGAGCCAGAAAACAGGAATCAGCAATCTACTGACATAGGACTATTGCACAAAGCCACCCATGACATTTATGCCATCATGGATGACAACCTACTGGGATGATCAGGACCTCTCTATAGTCACGCAATTGTGACAATTTGCCATTCCATGGTTCCATGCCCATGCTTCCGATTAGCACTGTAACTTCGCACTCTCACAATTCTTGTGCTCAGAAATGTTTTTATAATGTTTTTTTTTAAAAAAAAACATCGTAAGTCCAGCAAACGTTAGTTACAATAACAACTTTTAGATTGTGAAATTATTGTGAGGAGGGATGGGTGACAGTAGGAGACTACAGGAATCCCCTCCCCTGATATCACTTCAGTGCAAACATGCTAGCACAATAGTAGAAAGGGCTCATTCTACCAGGTAAGTGATAAAACTATGATTTGATCTAGGGCTATTGATGGGCTTTCCCACCAATAGCAGGGGATGGGTTTATTGCAGTGATGTGGCAGGCCAGGGATAGGCTGTGCACTATGACAGTTTTGCTTCAATGCTAGTTTGCAACCTTTGTGAGATAAAAGTCCACGGTGTATCATATCAATAATGAGGAGAAAAGGTGCTATTCTGATTCAGCTACTCCCTAGCACTTTCACCCCACCGGATCAATACAAAGAGCCTAGAGTGGACTGTTTCTATTAGAGTATGAGTGCCCTCCAGGTGTAACTACCATCTTTCATCTCTACTGGTTATGCTGGCTAGGGCTGCAGATACATGAAACAAGAGAGAGCCAACAGTACAGATGTTAATTTCTCCACCTCTGTCATTATGCTATGGACCAGTGAACCCAAATACTCCAATGTAATCTCCTCTTATAAGACTGGGTGACAAATGGATTATGTCTGTAAAACCTATTTAAGTTAGAGGAACAAGTTTCTTAGAACTACGTTCAAGTAGACATTTCCGAGCTAGTATACAAAGAATCATGCCACTGGATAAATATAAACATTTTGTATCTTCCTGCTTTGGTCAATACCATATTACAATATGAGAAAAAGTACAGGATGAAGTCATTGAAAATGTCATGAATCATACACTAAGAACATTAAAACCATGATTGAACAAGAAATATATACCAAGTAACACACTCTTAATTTTCCACACGTTTCACAACAATGTTCTCTCATTTAACGTGAAGAATGATTGTACACACAGAGAATTTTGCACTGAACTTTTCTAAATTTCAGCTTAAATGTTGCAACACAAAATCTCATTTTGCAAAACAAATTAAAAACTAAGAGAGTGAGTCAAACTATGTCATTACTGAAGTATTTGCAAAACTTATGAAAGCCTCCAGTAGTGTGAAAAAAAAGTTCTACCATTTATATAATTTTTAACTTTTTTCCCTGCACTATTTGGAAAGCTACAATGCCCAAAAATAGTCTAAATATAGATTAGAAGTGACCAGTCATAGCTCTGTTGAACATAACACAGTAACAACTATTATCACACTGCTTGTTTTCTTGGTACAGTAAAAATTCTTACTCTTACCATGTCTACACTTTCTACATATTTTATGAAGAATGTCACTGAAAATTCTATCATTCTAAAACGAAAACTACATGGTGGTCTTTCTAATCCTCAGCATCTGACAATAGTGGGTGTCCTTGTTAACTTTCAGATGGATTTTGCTTACATGTTTACCAAATGTTGTAAATCATACAACCTGACATTTAGACCTTCTGTTGCTTTGATGTTGTTTTGAAAAGTAGGATACAGTGTTAAATATTCAACTAGTAAGCATGGAACTTCAAGAACTTTCATGGAGAGGTGCAACTATGAACATGAGAGCTATATCTAAAAATGGCATAGCCCAATTTAGCGTACTCACTTGCCCCAAAATATGGAAAAATACAGCAAAGTTTACTGCACCAGCATATATGTTTGGAGCATGACCAACACTGGAAATGAATTTGTAGCCTAGCAGGTTTTTTGACTGAAATAAACTGAAGGTTGGAAGATCTCTTTCCTACATCTTAAAAGGGATTCTTAAAAATTACTACTGTTTGATATATACGTAGCATGCAAGAATTATGGGAGTTTGATGAAACGAGGCAGGAGGGAAGCACACTACTTATGACATCAAATTAGATTAGCCCTCGAGCTATCCAATGCTGATCTTGGGATCCCCACCAATCTATTAAAACCCAAAGCACCTCTCCAAATTTTGAGCCAAAACAAACCTTTTAAGCTAAAAAAGCCACTTAATTTGCAAAATGTAACTAAATAATGTTGATTCAAGAGCATCATATAGTAGCAAAAATACCACCAACCAACCAGGAGTAACAGAGTATCACTTCTGGCTATCCAAAATAACAGCTGCAACAGAGCAGTACAGCAAGCATCCCAAATTTTGCACCTTCCAGGTCTGGGAAATTCTGTACTGTGTTTTAACATACAAGCTGCAAACAAGATCCCCTCCACAAGAAGCAAAGTTTAATTTGTGTAACAACCCAGATCAAAGAAAAGGAATTCCCGGTCTTACCTGTAACATACCAACTATTTCTACTTTATTAAAAAAGATGAATGAATGAAGCGTTGATAACATGTTTTCCTCAAATACCGAAGGAGTAGGTAGAACCATATCTTGAATATACTGTACTCTATAGGTCTGGTGTATTTTTTGCTTCAGCTCTGGATCAGATATTGGAATAACTTCCTTAAATTTTGCAGTTTTTGTCAGAAATTCCCTGTGTTTCCGTGACTGTGATAAAGACGGATCATATTCTAGGCATCCAATTACATCCATTATACATTCTTCAGAAAACATGACTTCAAAAAGGGCAGTTCTATTCAAAAGGAAGATTCCCTTAATAATTTCATACAAATGGTGCAGTCCTTCAGTGTTCTCCAAATCCTCACATACGTGAAAAATTTCTAAGAGCTTTTTAATATAGCCCTCATTTTCCAGTGCTAGAGCAAGTTTTTCACGCCGTAATGGTGAAGGCAGGGAAGATGCCACAAGTTCTGCAATTTCTTCTAATCGACTTAATTCACAAGATGGCAACTCTAGACCTGGTGATGACATATCATCGAAGCGTTCCTCCTCAGATTCATCCACCAGATCCTGAGTAATATCCACTGAAGGGTCTTTTCCTTGGACCTAGTAAAGTGAGAGAAGACTGAGAAGTTCATCTTCAGGCATACCTGTCAAACATCTGTTATCATATATAGAGATTTATCAATGAAAGAAGCTACAGGCATGAAAACGTTGTTTTACCAATTATGTAAAACAGTCAAGGCCAGAAAGTGGGCATCTCTTTTAAACAACTGGGTACTAAAAAATAGGAAAGGATTACCAGGTGGGGAGTTCAGTAACAGACAAGGCCACACACTATGGCAATTAAGTATTTCAATGTAACAAGCAGCTCAGCTGTCTTCAAATATGATTTGCCTAAATAAAAATTCAAAGCAAGTATTCTGCTAAAAAATACCCAATGCAGCCATTATCAATGTTAAAACCCTCAGTATTAATAAAAGAAATCTTCTGTGTCTTCACATCTTTCCAGTCTTCAAGCACTGGAAAATATTTGACATGTACATAATATACCTAGCACATTTTATGCTGTGATTTTATCTGTGCTTTAAGTGTTACTGTTGTATGTCTCTATTGGGGTGCTTTAATTTCTCTAGACCAGTGGTTCTCAATTTATTTATTTTATTTACCGCACTTGGGACGCAGGGCAACCCCACAAAGGCAAAATTCAATGCCGAATATACATATCAGTAAATAAATAATTGCATTAAACTCAACCCAATTAAAAACATAATCATTAAAACATCAGTTAAAATCACAACCTGTGGGTCCCCAGGTGCTTTGGCCTACAACTCCCAGAAATCCCAGCCAGGTTATCAGCTGTTAGGATTTCTGGGAGTTGGATGCCAAAAACAACTGGGGACCCACAGGTTGAGAAGCACTGCTCTAAGACTATTCTGCAACATTAAACACCAAAAGAATCCCTCATCAGTTGCCTACAGTTATCCATGGACTGGATATCACAAAATGAACCCAGCTATCTTCCTAAGATTCAGCCCACCATTCATATGCATAAAGAGAGAGAAATGTTCTTCAAAAATGGCATATATTTTTGCTATTGTGATCTTGTCATTCTCTTCTTTGCCAGATTATTTTATTGCCCCAGTGATGCATAACAATGGACTATTTCTTATCTATAAACATTTAGAGACCATGCTCCTCTATTTAGTTAGTCCCATTAAATATTTTATTTCTTCAAATTCTCAAGGTGTACGACAAAAACATATTTTGCTACAGAAAACTGCTTTGAAATTTGTATTCCCCAATTCTTCCAATAGTTGATGGCTTTAGTATACTTGTGAATTGAAGTTTGCCTCTTTTGTAGGAAGTCTATACTTTTTGTGCATTCTCTGATTTCAATTTTTTCATATTTTGCTATAGAAAATTATTTTGAAATTTGGGGAAAAGAGAAGTTCGCCTTTCCCATTTTTTCTAAGATTTGATAGTTGCAGTATACTCAGGAATTAATGTTTGTTTCTTTTGTTGGAATTCTATACTTTTTGTGCATTCTCTTATTTCAAAATAAAATATGAAGAAAACTGCACTGGCTCAGAACTCTCTAACTACGCATAAATTGTGCTTATATAAAATCAAAGATTCACAGAGTCAGACGAGACCACAAGAGTAATCAAATGTTACTCCCTGCCATAGAGGGATACCAAAGGAGTAAAAACATACCTGACATATTTTTTCCCATATTTCATCACAGCCAGCTTTTTCTTGAAAGCTAAGTGCGAGGTCATAGTTCTCTGCTTCAGACCACACAATCAGTGTGTCCTTGAAAGGTTAAAAGTCACATTTAGTTTAATTATATCTTAACATTTAAAAATACATTCTGAAGATTATTATTTGATTGAAAAAATAGGGTTTTACTTCCAGCCTATATTATCTATAACATTGAAAAACAAGACAACCTAAGAATTCTCATACTGAATTTTCATTCACATGCACATCAGTGGCAACATCCATGCAACACCAGTCTTTTGTGTCAGTATGCAGGATCAGCTGACCAGACATTGGCTAGAATTCTTGATTAGTCCTAACTAAAGTAGATCTGTTGAATCAATTGTTCACTGGTAAGTCAACATACATATAAATGCCACTTATTCAAAATGTCTGCTTGAGTTGGCATTAACAAGGTTTTTATGGTTTAAAGAGTCACTTACTTCTAAAAATTACAAGTGCTGAGTTTTTGCATTTCATACAGAAACTCTGTGTTATGAAACCTTTCAAATAAAATAATGCAATACCATTTATGAGGAATAGTTAAAAAACATTGCATATACATTTTGACATTAAGCCAAGTTTTTCAAAAATGAACTGTTTCCTAGTCAAGTTTCTATATTAATAACAACATCTTGTTCTTCTCACTTTTTAGAACTCTGCATTTGTGTGTGTGTGCCTCATGCAATATTCCAAATGTCAGAACTGTCTGGAGTCTACCAGAGTAAGGCTAAAAGAAAACTGAAGGTTCCTGAAATGTTTGCTGTTGTGGTGTGTCTTCCAATAATTTCCAACCTAACATAACTCTAAGGTGAATCTATCACAGAATATTTAGACAAGATTCATTTAGTGGGGTTGCGATTGCCTTCACCTGAGGCTGAGAGTGGTAAAGAGTTTTAGGTTATGCAGTGGGTTTTCTTGGCCAATTGTTGATTTGAACACTGGTCTCCTGGAATCCTAATCAAACACCCAGGCTGTTACAGTTTGGGTGCAGGTTATCTACAGGGATGTCTTCTCCTGTACAATCCACCCTTTAGGACACTTAGGTCTTCTGGGGGGACGCTTACTCCAACCAGCCAAAACGTTATTGGCGACCGTCACCCAGAGGACCTTTTCATCAGCCACCCGAAGAAGACTGTTGAATGACCTGGCAGAATTGAAAACCCATCCCTTCCGGCAGACCTACCCAGTCACCTTTAATCATGGGTTTGGACTTACATTGATTTACATTCTATTGCTACTATATGTCAATTTTGTCTCTGTGTTTGGTGCAAGTTTTTTTTGTATTTTTGTGTTTTTATCTATGTAATGTATTGTATATATTTTGTGTTCATATGTTTTTGACTTAGTTGTATGCCAACTCAAGCCATCAGGAGAGCCGGTTAATAAATATATATTTTTATTATTATTATTACAGCACAATGGCTCTTTGAAAATATACCTTGATCCGAATGAGAAAAAGGTGAAGGGAAGCACAGAAAACCAAGGAGTAAATGGAATGGAAGCAGTGTGTGGCAGAGCACTAAAAATCACACCTCACTTCCATTTTATGACATTTTCTACCAATAGAATGAAAGTTGATAGGTTCTACCTATAAACTTGATTTGGTAGGTTTCTAGAGAATATTAAAATGCCATTGTTATAATTCACAAGATTACAGATGACTGAGATTCAGGTTCAAAACTCTTATACATTCAAAACTTCTACAGTAAAAGTTAAGTTACCCATGTGAACATATCCCATGTTATTGTTACTGGTAATAGTGAAACATAAAATGGAAAAAATCTGTGCATAACAGTAATTCATAAATCTGTGCATAACAGTAATTCATTCAGTCAACAACCACTTCTGCAGCATCAGCCAAAACGTACCTTGAAGTTTACAGGCTTGCTTAGCACAAGCCCAGATATTTTCTATTTTCTATTAAAACTTTACCTATGTGAATATACCAGTATATTACTAGGAAAATAGAAGATTTAATTGACTAAACTACCTGTTGCTTCTGGTACGCAGTATTTGGGTTGATCTTAGACTCAAGGAGAAGAGAACCTGAAAAGAGCAAGAAAAATGTTTGTAATTTCATGCCCAAAATAAAATGATAACTTATGTGCACTATAAAAAGAAAACTTAAAATAGCTATTAACATCATCACAGTATTAAGAGCAACAATTTAAAGAACAATTCAGAAATTTATTAAACAATCATAAAGCGTACAAATCAAGGGACCACAAAAAGACTGGTAATGTTCTGAAAAGTAGGAGAAAAGGTAAACAGACAGATACTGTTAGAGATAAGGCAGGATCAGCTCCTTAAATTTTCAGAAGGACCGCCATATGCCATTCTTCTTCATGTTTCTAAAGGCTTGGGGCTGGAAAATGATTTCAAGTGAAAACCCTAGTCAAGTTTGTCACTAAATGACATTGTTTCACATTTCTAGGTGCCATTATCAAGCTGTCACAGACTTTAATGTGATGAGGCCTTGTGGATCTTCCATCCCGCACCAAGAGACACACTCATTTGGGCTAATTCTCCGCAGTAAGAAATAGACAATATATACAGTATATGTCTGAAAAACAGATCTGAGCCACGTAAGCAGAGATCTCAAACAAACTAACTCAGTACATTGAATGTAAGGAATTGATTAACTAGCAAAAACTGATGTTTCAGTAAAGCAAAGGGAACATAATCCCATAAACTATTTCTAAAGGTCTGAATTCTATAATTATATTCTGGAATCTCTAAAATGCTTTGGGGTTATTTGTGGATATGAATATTTGTGGATTTGATTAATATGTTCTCTTTAGTAATCTTTAGGTCCTCCAGCATGACTCTATGGTTGGTTTCCACTGGAAGTTGAACACAGAGTAATGCTGGAAAACGTAAGATTACTTTTTTTAATATGCGGTTTTCCACTTTCATGACTTTGCTTCTAAACAAAGTGAATATGGGGGCTGACTGTATCAAATATAAAACCCTGGAAGAAAAAAAACAAATGTCTATGGATATAAAAGTGAGAGAAAGGCTACAAAATATAGTTAAGTACAAAACAGTCAGTCTCCTTCAGGAACAACCTAAGAATTTATCACTCTATGGTACACCAGTCTTTACCCAAGAAAAAACAGATACTAAGACTAAAGATGATAGGACTTATTTATAACTTTCCTGTATATAGGCTGAGTATTCCTTGTCTAAAAATACAATGATCCACATGGGCAGCTGAGATAGTGACACCTTTTCTTCATGATAGTTCAATGTACACAAACTTTGGTTCATGCACAAAATGAATGCAACACAAATGAACATCATGTTTGGTCTTGGGTCTCATCTATAAGATATCTCTTTATGCCTGTGTATTCAAAAAAATGTACTCCAAAATCTAGGAAAAAAAGCTAAAGTAAAACAGTTCAGACCCATGCATTTTGGATAAGGGATACTCAAACTCTAATACCATTTAGATTCTCCCTAAGCACCACCTAATATTAACAGTATATGCCTACACTAACTGAACACAGATCAAAAGGTTTAATTCAGAGTAAGTATGTTTATGATCAGGATGTAAGAGTGATATGCACACATTCAGTAGCAAGTCCCACTTACTTTCAATATAAAGTACCTATATAAATAGATATAGGATCAGATCCACAGATTTGTTATTTCGTTTTTTGTTTACTAGACTACTAACACTCATTTATGCTTATTTTTAGAATAGCAATAGCAACAGTGAAAATAAGCAAGAGTAAACACTACAACAACACACTGCCATTTGGTTAAAGACAAAAGAATGACCCTGAGAAATAACAGAAACTACAAACAAAATCTAGAAAAAAATTAAGTGCAATTTTAATAACCCAAACCACTTAGTAATATCATGTGGTAGCTTTTTAGAGTATCTTACCACAGGACTCATGGAAGTAATTTTATGTTAAAATAGAGATGACTCTGAAGACTTACTATCTGAGGAATTATAGTTTACATATTAGATAGATATGAACTACAAATCCCATCTAGCATAATGGAAGAGGACTACTCATAAAAAAAACAGTGAGACTGAATATCCTTCCCCACATTCATCATCTGCTAATATGTAAAACTGGGGAGAAAACAATGTCTACATTATTTAAAATAAATGGAATATATAAGTGTTCTAATATATATGAAGCTGTAGGAAACTGGAAAGCTGCAGAGAAAAAATGTATGAACGCAAAGTATTTATTCAGTGTTATATTAGATATAGAAATAAACAAACGATACTACTGTTTTCCACTCTGTTATTTTTTACTGTAAACCACTCTGAGTTACCTTGGGGAGATAGGATGGGTTATAAATAAGTATATTATTATTATTATTATAAAAATATTATTCTAGCCTAGCCTCTAAAGCAGTGGTTCTCAACCTGTGGGTCCCCACATGTTTTGGCCTTCAACTCCCAGAAATCCTAAGAGCTGGTAAACTGGCTGGGACTTCTGGGAGCTGTAATCCAAAACTCCTGGGAACCCACAGGTTGAGAACCACTGCTCTAAAGGACTCTGATGGAAGCAGATCAGCGATGGGAGTAAGTTATATAGACAGAAGTTACAGCACAGTATTGACACAAACATTATGTAACATCAGCACATGGTGAAACTCTTCTATCATAACATGTCGAGAATAATCTTCAGGTGGTTCCATCCATACTCTTGATTTGAGAAGACAAATAAAAAGAGTCCCTCAATTACCCTGCAATGCAAGCAGGGCCAGTCCCTTACACGGAGGACACATATTCAGGCAGACTCACCATCGCTCTCGGCCCTGACTAGCAGGGACATGCCCTTCAGCCTTTCCACATAGCCAGAGGACACATGTCCAGTGCCCCGGTCGTCCCACTGCCTGTCTTCATTCAGCGTGTACACCTTCACCCTCCGCCGGGTGTCGGTCATCCTGCCTCTTGCCACGATCACCGAGGCCGGGGTGCAAAGGGTGATGGGGGGGCCCGTGCCCCCCTCAATAAAGCAGAGCAGGGAAGGGAGTGAACAGTCCCACACAATAAGACCTCAAGCTGTTCTCTTTGTTGGCACTGCTAAAGGAGCTGCTGCCTCCTCCTCCTCGCCTTCACCATCATCCCCCAAAGGGGTGGGTGCTTTGAAGTTTTGCAGTGGAACAAAAAAGGAGGAGGAAGAGGGCTGCTTTCCACGACAGAACTTGTTTTCAGTGAAGCCAAAGAGAGAGGGAGAGAAATGGGAGAGGCCAGGAAGAGCTGAGGAGAAGAAACAGAGAACAACAAGAGATTGAGAAGAATGGAGCCAAAATGGCAAGGCGTGACTAAAGGGGACCCCACAATAACATGGGGAGTGTGTGTGTGCGTGTGTGTTAATATGAAGGGATTGGTAGTAATGGGAAAGGCGTGACTAAAGTGGAACCCACATTAATATGGGGAGTGTGTGTATATGTCTTATTATGAAGGGATAGGGAGTAAAAAGTCTAATATGGGGTGTGTGTTTGTGTGTGTTGAAATGCGAGGATTTGCCAATGGGGACTCTGTGAGAGGGGGGATAGGAAGGCAAAGTGATCTGGGGTAAAGTGACAAGAGGAGAATGGGGAGAAAGGCAAGAGAACAGACACACACACAGAGAGACAGAGAGAGAGAAGGAGTAGCAATGCTGACGCTGAGAAGAAGAAGCCGAGACTGACAAGGCCGCGGCCTACACGGAAGGCATCACAGGCAGCACTTCCGGCCGGACTCCTTCTCCCTCTCTCTTCTTCTTCTCCTCCTCCGCCGCCGCCATGTTCTTCCGTCTCCGGCTCTCCTTCCACTCCCCTCCGGCTCCCCCGCCGGCCTCGCGTGGCCTGCCCCGGGCCCGAGCGGCGGGCCTCCCCGCGGAGCCCCTCGCCGGGCAGATGCTCAAGCCGTTAGCCTCCTTCTCCCTCTCCGCCTCAGTCTCTCAACACCGCCGCCATCTTGGTTTCACCTCTCCGTGTAAGGCGCGGGGTCTCCTTGCCAAAGGCGGAAGGGGCCGGCCGCTGAGATTTAAAGGGACAGGCGCCTTTTATTTTGGACTCTTCTTATATAGGCGCGTGGGAGTTGTAGTTTCCTAAGGGCTTCGTCCTTACTTATTTATTTACTTTGCTTGTATACCACAGTTTCTCAGCCCGCAGGCGACTCAACGCGGTTTACAACAAGAGCAAAAGTCAATCATAGAATCAAAGAGTTGGAAGAGACCTCATGGGCCATCCAATCCAACCCCCTGCCAAGAAGCAGGAATATTGCTTTCAAATCACCCCTGACAGATGGCCATCCAGCCTCTGTTTAAAAGCTTTAATGAAACAACATACAATATTTAAAACTATTAACAGCACAATATACAAAATAAGTGACTGGACTGACCTTGAAGGAGCTGGGGGTGGTGACAGCCGTCAGGGAGCTCTGGCGTGGGCTGGTCCATGAGGTCACGAAGAGTCGGAGACGACTGAACGAATGAACAACAACAATACAAAATAATGACACATCAATATAACACATTAGCATCTCATAACTAAAATCGTGATCCAATTCGTCATCCATAAATTCCGTTTCCTATATTCATCGTTCATTGCACTATTTATCCGAACGCCTGTTCAAACAGCCAGGTTTTTAGTTTTCTTCGAAACACCATTAACGAAGGGGCTGATCTAATGTCCCTGGGAAGGGCGTTCCACAGCCGAGGGGCCACCACAGAGAAGGCCCTGTCCCTCGTCCCCGCCAGCCGTGCTTGTGATGCAGGCGGGATCGAGAGTAGGGCCTCCCCAGAAGATCGTAGAGTCCTGGTGGGTTCGTAGGCAGAGATATGTTCGGATAGGTAGCTGGTGCCAAAGAGTGCTGGTGCCTTACCAAACTACAGCACTGAACCATGGCAGTTAAAACGGTGTCAAACAGCATTAATTTATTATTATTATTATTATTATTACGCCAACGACTTAAATCTAGACATAGTTTTCTAAGATCTACAGAGACAACTGGAACACCTCAGCAAGCGAGAGTCCAAAAGTGGCAGGCTCAAACCCAGAACCTCAACCAATGGCTGATACCAAATGAGAGACTCCCCCCTGGGCACACAGAAGACTGGGCGACTTGGAAGGCGCTGAACAGACTGCGCTCGGGCACCACGAGATGCAGAGCCAACCTTCAGAAATGGGGCCACAAAGTGGAATCCTCGACATGCGAGTGTGGAGAAGAGCAAACCACTGACCACCTGCTGCAATGCAACCTGAGCCCTGCCACATGCACAATGGAGGACCTTCTTGCAGCAACACCGGAAGCACTCCAAGTGGCCAGATAGTGATCAAAGGACATTTAACCAACTACCAAACTCACAAGTTGTGTATTTTTCTGTTTGTTTGCTTTGTTCTGTTAGAAATGTAATATAACGGACTGGCTGCTTGGACACGACAAATAAATAAATATTATTATTATTATTAAACTTTATTTGTACCCCGCTAACATCTCCCGCAGGATTCGATGCGGCTTACACAGGCCGAGGCCTCAATAACAAAACATAACAATACAATCTAAGCAAATCAAACAATTAAAAACAAAATAAGGCAAAGTAAAACAACAGGCACAATACACTAAAACACAATAAAACTGGGCCGGGCCAAAGAATGGGTACAAAGATTAAAAGTGCTGATGTGACAGGAAGTGTATAAAGGGCTTCTAGGGCAAGTGCAATGTGCAGAGTGCAACAATCATTGGTCCTGGTAAAGTGCTTATGGGACTTGGTAGTGGAGATTTCCTAATCTGGGAAGGCGCATCAGAAAAGCCAGGTTTTCAAGTTCTTTCTGAAGACAGCCAATGAGGGGGCCTGTCTAAGGTCTTTAGGGAGGGTGTTCCAGAGTTGGGGGGCCACCACGGAAAAGGCCCTGTCCCACATCCCCACCAAGCGGGGACAAGGCATGGGCCAACTTGGGCCCTCCGGGTGTTTTGGACTTCAACTCCCTAGGTTGTGAGTTTTCCGAGGTGTATGGCCTTGTTCCAGGCAGGCATCCTCAGAGGTTGTGAAGTCTGTTGGAAACTAGGAAAATGGGGTTTCTTTATCTGTGGAATATCCAGGGTGGGAGAAGGAATTTACCTGTCCGAACGTATCCTCTCCTATGAACTATCAAGATTGCTAAGATCGTTTGGAGGGGCCCTGCTCTCGATCCCACCAGCCTCACAGGCGCGGCTGGTGGGGACGAGAGACAGGGCCTTCTCGGTGGTGGCCCCTCAACTCTGGAACCCCCTTCCACTGGAGATCAGAACTGCCCCTTCTATCTTAACATTCAGGAAACAGGTGAAAACTTGGCTTTGGGGATTGGCATTCGACGAATGAGCCATGATCCTGTGATATGGATGGATGATGACGAATAGTGATTTTTGATGACGACTGGCCATTGTAATTATATGATTGTATTTTGCTATTTTAATGTTTTAGTGTGATTTAGAATATGATGTTTTAATGACTGTCTGCAATATTGATGTTGTAAATCAGCCTGAGTCCCTCGAACGGAGGTGAGAAGAGCGGTATACAAAACTGCTAAATATTTTCCCTTCCTAGGAGTAGATTCCTCTCACTTGAGTTTTGGGAGCTGTAGTTAACCTATATCCAGAGAGCATTGTGGACTCAAACAATGGTGGATCTGGACCAAACTTGGCACAAATACTCAATATGTCCAAATGTGAACACTGATGGAGTTTGGGGGAAACAGATCTTGCCTTTTGGGAGTTGCAATTGCTTGGATTTATAGTTCACCAACAATCAAAGAGGATTCTGAATCCCACCAACAATAGAATTGGACCAAATTTCCCACACAGAATCCCCATGAAAAACAAAAATACAGTATTTTCTGGTTATCTTTGGCGACCCCTCTGACACCCCGTCACGACCTCCCCAGGGGTCCTGACCCCCAGGTTGAGAAACACTGCCCTGTATGGTTTGGGTCCAGATTACCTACAGCAGCTATGGGCAAACCCAGGCCCAGGGCTGCATGCAGCCTCTTGGGTTCTTTTCTCAGGGCCTTCTCTCTCACACCATCCTATATTTTTCTCTTTCCTTCATCCTTCCCCCTCTCTCTTCCTTCCCTCTCTCTCTTCCTTCCCTTCCATCCTTCCTTCACTTCCAACCTTTCATTCTTCCTTCTCTAATTTGTCCCTCCCTCCATCACTTCCCTCCCTCCCTTCCTTCCATCCATCCTTCTCTCCCTCCCTTCCTTCTGGGGGATGTTTAGCTGGGAGAAGAGAAGGTAGAGAGGGAACATGAAAACCATGTTTCAAGATTTAAAAGAATGTCCCATTGAGGAGGAGGGGGCAGGGGGAACTTTCTGCTGCTGTAGAGACCAGGGCACAAGGGAACAATGGGTTCAAATTGCAGGGAAAGAGATTCGACTGAAACGATTTGGAAGAACTTTCTGGAGAATGGCATAGGCTGCCTTGGAGTGTGGTGGAATCTCCTTCTCTGGAGGCTTTTCTGTAGAGGCTGTCTATTGGGAGTACTTTGATTGTACCTTTCTGCGTTACAGGGGGTTGGACTGGATGGCCCTTGGGGGTCTCATCCAGCTCTAGGTTTCTAGAATTCTATATCAGGATTAGGCCACCATCTCATCCTGACCAAGGCCAACCCTTTTGGGATCCTAATGTTTCCCGTCTTTCCTTCACTTTCTGCCTCCAAAAGAGAAGAGGAAGTGGACGAAAGGGCAGGACTTGAGGAGAAGTCACTCCCTCCCGGCTCTCGCACACTGCTCCGGCCCGCCACGTGGCCCCCAAGTTAGAAAGTTTGCCCATGCCTGATTTACAGGATTGCCTTCTCCTGTATACCCCCCCTTTAGGACTCTGAGGTCCTATGGAGGAAGGGTGGCTACTCCAACCAGTCAGAATCCAATTGGCAACTGTCACCCAGAAGACCTTTACATCAGCCACCCCAAGACTTTGGAATGACCTGCCACAAGAGTTCAACAGTTACATTAACTATCAGAATTTAAGAAACAACTAAAGACTTAGCTCATCCAGTAGGCATATCCAGGGAATTTTAAATTTCCACCATGCATTTTAATATGTGTAATGTATTTTACAGAAATGCGTTTTAATAATTACGTATTTTAACTATGGTGTGCCCTGCTTTGAGCCATGAAGAGAGGTGGGTAAGTAATAAAACATTATTGTTATTATTGTAATAATAATAATAATAATAATAATAATAATAATAATAATCCCAAGCAAGCCTTCTCCAATATAAGGCCCAAGAACAGACTTGAATGAAAACTGATTCAATCAGGTCTGCCTTCCTGACAGCCAATCAGCCTACATTAAAATGTTTAAAACTGATTGGCTGATGCAGATTTACATTCCTTCCAGCGGCTCCACAGTGCCCACTGCTCCCCACTCATCCCACAAATAAGTCATATGGTGCCATTTTACACATAAAGGAACATTGACATCTTAAACAATATTGGGGTGTCCTGGCCCATATATCATATGTAGTACACACAAGTATCCAAGGAACATGCTATCTTTGGGCATTGCTATATCTGAGATCATCCATTCCAAACAGAATATGTAGTCTTTTTCAATTAGGAACAGCACACCACTTATAAACATCACAGTACAGTGAAGGCTGGCATTTGGTCTTCCTGGCTCCTTTCTCTCTATCTCATCTTGGCTTGTTTTATATCTTTCCTGGCCTCTGGTTGGCCAATCAGATAAGAGTCATTCACAGATCCCTGTTTATATATGCAATAACTTTCCTCCAGTCATAACAAGGTGATGTAAATCACCAAGACCTTTTGTTTCTTGGCTGCTATCTGTCAGATTACAACAGTACCTTTATTTTGGATACATTATCGGTCAATTCACACTTCATATTTCTAATTTATTATTATTTATAATTATTACTTACTTAGGCGATCCCTTGTAGCTCAAGTATGAAGGTCTTCCAGTTGCGGTGTCTTGGCGGTGGGTCTGTAGGTGGCTGTGGAGCCCTATTCTTGATTCTCA